TTTTTTTTTTCTTTACGAGCACACTGGAGGTTTCCAGCAATTTGAAGGACGTGTCTGGCCAACAAAACCCGGTATGTTTGTGCTAATTTCAATTAATAAAAGGAGCCTATGTGATCGCCGTTTATTTTAGCGAATAATTTATTAAGGTGCTTCGATAAAGTTTCATATCAATATTTTCAATCAGTTTTTTACCAGGCCGGATTTAAGTGAAAATTACACAAGTTACTGGAATTAAATTGAAGTTTGGTATATTCTATTTAACGGAGGACGATAACGCCAGTACAACAATAAACGGAAAAAAATTGAAATCCCCCTCCAATAAATGAAACCAGTCTGGTCTTCTAATTCTCTGCCTTCTTATTCCTGTTCAATGCGTAATTATATATTGCTTTGATGAACCACACGATATTTTTGAAGTTCAGTTTTTAATGAAGACAATACATATTTCGGACGAGACATCATCCATCGTCAATTGTACAGTGAGAAATAAAATGAAAATATGCAATAAGTATAGGTAAAAATACGGTTTTTCTCGTTCAGTTTGGAATTAATTTGCACGAGTGAGTGTTTCAAAAAGCTGAAATTGCACGAGCCGCTTCGGAGAGTGCAATTTCAGCTTTTTGAAAGGGAGTGACAATTTTCAGAACTTCTCAGGTGTTTAAAAATGTGGGAATGTTTGTCAGAGGAGAGATGTTCGCGGATGCGAGTAGCGAAGTGTTTGTTGGTTTCACCAACGTAACAGGCACTACAGCCTGCCATGAAAACTTATAAATGACTCGCGATCATAATTGGCAGGGATAGGATCTTTGACCCCAAACCAACTCCTGATTTTAAACGGGGTGAACACCAACTTAATGTCTAGGTCAGTGCAAAAAGCGCTAACTAATTTCTTATTCTGCGGTGCGTTGTGGTAGACAAAGGACCGATGTGCGGTAATTTGAAATACAAAAAATTGTCCTTACGAGTAGCACCCTTAGAGGAATCAGAGATGACATGATTGCTAAGAAATTTTCTAACAACATTCTCGACGTTAGAAGGGAACAAATTCCTCCTTAATGTTTTGGTAAGGTTTTTTATGTCAAGGTGAAAGCCAGCCCAAGTATTGTTGATTTTAAACGTTCGGTCTACCAGAGTGCGCAGTAATCCTGGCTGATTTGTAACTGAAAGGTACAGAACTATAAAGTTAGTGAGAAGACCAGTGTAGGTCTTCTTATGAAACACCGAGGTGATAATGCCCTGATTGCTATTATTATCTAAAAGAACATCTAAGAAGGGGAGCTTGTGGTTTTCTTCCCTCTCCATGGTAGACTTAATGTTAGGGTGCTGGGTGTTGATATAATTATAGAAAGATAGAGCATCCTGTTCGGTATTAAACAGAGCAAAGATATCATCGACATATTTACGATAAAACCGTACTCAGTACCCGAATTTAAAGGGGCTAGGTCACGAAATTTTAGGCAATTTCAACACTGATCAAATGGTCATAGAATTAACTAAAATATCACAAAAACGGCTCAAAACTATACAAGATCTCAAACAAAACACAGGAAAGCCAAGAAGGGACATGGATGGACAAAACTGGAGAGGATTGAAATGGATTGCATTTGGGTAAATTTGAAAAACGTCGGCCCACCGTTTTTCAAATTTATATCAGTTTATATGAAAATGTCATTTACACAGCTGGAAAATCATTCTCAGTTGTTATTTGGCCGTGATTTTGCAAATGAAAGACTTTTGCTCTGCCAATTTGACGTTTAGAGCTCATAATTAACAAAATTAAACAAAATTAACTAAAATAGCGTGACCTAGCCCCTTTAATTCTCTAACCAGCGTTTCTCATGGTAACCCATGAAAAGATTAGCTAATACATGAGCGAGCGGAGAGCCCATGACCACCCCATCAATTTGATCGTAGAAATTACCCAAGAAGGAAAAATGGGTCATGGGCAGTGGCAAAGAAAAATGACCTAGTAAGATTGTCCTGTCCTAATTTGATATCTGGGTTGCCCTTCATTATGTATGGTCTACCGCTAAGTAGATAGATTCGATGAGAGGAATGTTGGTGAAAAGAAACAATGAATTTATTAGAAGTATGGAGCCTAGTGACTTCACTGACT